TAGAGCTATACACGTATAATGGAATATACAGGGGAATATGATATGATATGATGTAACTGAATCGAGTTTGGTCACGGAAAATGGTGATATATTAGGTGACTAGGTGATTGAACCACCAAACGTGGTGATGTAACCAAACAATACAGGGGGATTACAGTAGATGATGGTGAAACCCTGGAAATAGCTCTGCAAGGTGGTGCCAAAAAAGTGAGCGATTCATCGGAAGATGTTGGTGCAAATAGGTCCAATTTCATTTGGTTTATGGAACTATAGCTATTACAAGGTGGTGCGCCATAGTTAGCTAAGTTAGTGCAAATAAGTCCAATTTCACTAGGGCTGGCCATCGAATCAATGGGAATTCCAGGATCCTAAATTGGAGGTACTGTACCATATGTTTGGCCATATTTTGGGGGTATATCCCCTTACATAGCCCTGAAAAATAGGCCTTATATATGGCAGGGACCTCCAATCAATCGGATCCTGAAATTCCCATTGATCGAAGATGGTGAGGGTGGAGGTTGCCAGATCCTTGCGTTGGAAAAGGACTGGGAGGACGCCGCTGAGGTGAACCCTATCCTGGAAGCTGAGGATGCCACGGTCACCACCCTATCCTGGGGGTTATAAACCAACAAACAGAACTACCCCCGCAACTCGCCTCAGGAGTTCCTAATCATAACGAAGCCGAGCTGATCTGGCAAATTCTCTGAAACTCTTGGTGAATACCTTGAAGAAAATTGTTGGATAAATAGAAACTAAAGGACTAAATTGGATGGTATCCCCCAGTTACAAGTTGCTTTATGTTGCTTTTAAATAAATCCACACATAAAGCCCACATGACTAGTTTTTTTTAATGGAGGTTTCCGAAATAAATGAGGGTACCCCCAAATCATCCAAGTCATTAGATATGGGCATTTGTGGTTTAATAGCTGGTTGGTGGTTTGGATCATTTTTTATTTTCCCATATACTGGGAATAATAATCCCAACTGACTTTCATATTTTTCAGAGGGGTTGAAACCACCAACCAGATAGGATATTTCATGATAATTATTTCCATTCACACACACACACAAGGCGCTGGAGCGCGCTGTGTGCCCACCTCTGGACTTCATGCCCCCCTGGAAGATCTCTTTTTGTATTGGTGCAATGAGCGTGGCCACGGGTCCTGGACGGCTTTCTCCTCAACTCGGGCGCCTAGACACAAACAATCTGAGAGCCGGATTTTCACCACTTGCCAGATAGGTCGTTAGATTTAGTTCTATATTCTCAGCTGGTAACTATTGGCAATTATGAAACGCTACAAATAAGGGGATTATAAGGTGATACTTATCATCTACCAACTGCAGGATTTCGTCCATCCACAGTAAGATGTATATATGGAGGTTTCCTACAAAGGGGGGGGTACCCCAAATCATCCAAAAGTTAGACCCGTTTAACATTGAAACCCATGGTTTTGGGCTTCCCCCATTAGTTCTACATAAATATTTTCAGGTGGTAATTATTAGTAACCCATTAGATATCATATAGATATCATAAACTTAGTTACTATTATTTGGTTCATTTTAACACTAAGTCTAGTGATTACTAGTATAACAATATTAACCGATCGTTACTATTATTTGATTCTACACTATCATTAGTAACTAGTAACTATTAGTAACTGTTAGATCATTAGTAACTATCATATAGATATCATAAACTTTAATATTGACCATATAGCTATAGTAACTATTAGTTCTACGACTATTATTATGAAAAACTGAGTTACTATTATTGAGTTCTACGACTATTAGATCATTAGTAACTGTCAGATGATTAGGAACTATCATTTCTAGATATCATAAACTTTAGTATTGACTTTATAACTATAGTAATATTATAGATACTATTTTAGTATAACTAAAGTAACTAAGTGAATAGTCGTATAACTATAGTAACTAAGTGATAACTTTAGTTCTACGACACAGATGTCATGACGACAGGTACACCGAGCTACGGCCACTTGGACTTCGACAGTCCTGGGACCTCAACGGCCATGGGATTTCCCCGGGGAAAACCATGGGGTTTTTGTATAGGAAAACCATGGGAAAATCAATGGAAAATCATAGGGAAAACACATCTGGTTGGTGGATTCTCAAAGATTTGGCTCATTTTCTATAATATATGGGATGTCAACCTTCCCATTGACTCATATTTTCCAAGATGGTTAAAACCACCAACCAGACATCTGCGAATGGAGGTTCAAAACGCAGGAACATCTTCCATAGGGCATTTCCATTGCCATGTTTGATTCCCATTTCAGTATGTGGCCTGGCCTTCAAGACAACCAGCAGATCAGGCAGATTTTTGGTTGTCCATTTAAGGCACTTTCATGGTGAAACTCAGACATGGTGTTTTCTAAATATACACCATATTATATATATATATATAAATATATATATATATACATGCCAGGTGGATCTGCGCTGGACGCTGGCTGTCATGTCCTTGGTGGAGCCATGATCGGTACAGCACATTTTCTCCCCAGACGAGCAAGAATCAAGAGAGATATTCCACATCTTTGCCACAATCCCCACGCGAAAGAAAGTTGAGGCAATACTTCGCTGAAAAAAAATTGCTCAGTCGGAGGCGTTAAGGAGATGCGCCTGGCGTATTCAGGAGGCCTGTGCTGCAATGATTGTGCAGGATTTCGGCACAGAAGTTGGTCCTGACTTTGCTGGGGGCTTCTCTGCGTGAACTTTGAATTCGCTGCTGGCCGCGGCGACAGCCTCTGTGAGCCAAGAGTAAGAGCCAAAAAAACATATATTTATATATTTAATGAGATTGATTTATACCATACTCAATCATATTCACCATGTTTGGTCTTTGCTTTGCATTCCGGTGCCATTGTGGTGCCTTTTTTTCTCGGTGCCGGAACGCGGAACGCCGAGCTGAAAGTGGCCAATGTTGGCAAAACTGTGATGGAAGAATTCATCCTATCCTGGGTCAGCCTTGTACGTTCAATCCTGTTTTTTGTTTTAAATGGGTATGGGTCAATACCTATAGATACATTTTTAGTGGGATGAACATCCATTTACCAGCTATTTTGGGGTTCACTAGGTACCAGGGTTTTGACCCGTCCAGCTAGTTTGTTTTAAGTGTTCGGCAGAGTATCCATGATTCGCCTTGTAAATTGCGGCTGTGACCAATATGTTAATCCATCTCACCAGTCATTGCAGTAGGGCATGGGAGAAACACCACCGCTCATAGGGATGCAACTGAGATTGTAGGAGATACAACTCTACAGTTACAAGGTGGTGCCCCATAGTGTTAGCTAAGTTGGTGCAAATAACTGCAATTTTACTATGTTTCATGGTAGATATATCTATACTTAATGCGGGTTATAAACCAATTTATAACTGGGGAGTCATGAGTCGGTTCAAGTGGCGACAGCAGATCCGCCAAGTAGGAAGTTCTGACGTTTACCAGGCATGTGGTGCCTTCAAAAGAGGCATTGGACCATGGTAATTACCCTTTGGTTATGTCAAAATAACTATTGAAAATTGCCATCTGTAGTTGGTTTACCCATTAAGCATGGAGATTTTCGCTATGTTAGTTCACCAGAGGGTATGACATATTATGAGCTATCAGCCACTTGATGGAAATTAATACAAGATTCCGCTGAAGCAGTCAATCATGCTACTTCGTCCCAGGGATCGTTACAAGTTAGCAGCTTCGCCCAGCATCTTGGTGGCTGGGCTTAGAATCCAACTATTTATCGGATACATAAACCCACAAACTGGGCCCCCCGTTTACGACGGCTGAGTTGGCTTTAGAATTATAACTCCAATAACTATGGTTTGTGATACTTAAGCCTATAATATATTCATAGAGTCTATAAACCAACAAAACATAACAGGGTGATTCCCTACCTTGCAGGAATCAAGGATTTACATAGCATACTTGAGGGCGCGGGCCCCAGGCAACGTAAAAAACGCGAAAATAATCCATGGGTAGTCCACATACTGTAACTGGTTTGATGCAAGGTGGTGCCCCTTAGTTAGCTAAGTTGGTGCACATAACTCCAATAACGTTTGGGTCTATAAACCAACTTATATCTCGGCGGGGCACCACCTTGTAAGGTGGACGCTCCAAGAAACCAGTTTCAGATATGTTCACCATTGCCCAGCTGGACTATTAACACTTCGCTTCTTCGAACACCATTTTACTCAATTTCCCCATGAAATGGAAGGATTAATGGGAAACTCGATGGTTTCCGATGGTTTCCGGTTAAGATTTTCCCGCCAATCCATGGAATTTCACCCAAATTTCCCAGGAAGTGGGAGGAAGCCAAACATTGGGCCCTACAGGGTGAAAAGGCGCGCCGATTTGGGCAGGAGTAGTGGAGATTCTGCAGGTCCAATCGCAACAATGAGTTGCGATTTGGCCCATGCATATATATATATATGGTTGGTGGTTTGGAACATGAATTTTATTTTTCCATAATATGGGAATAATAATCCCAACTGGCTAATATTTTTCAGAGGGGTTGAAACCACCAACCAGATATATATATATATATATAAATAATTATAGTGCCGGACATATACTTAGAACATTGGTTTTGGAATTCCAAAACATGTTCTAAGTAGAGATCCTGGACCACTACTTAGAACATATATGTTCACGGGATGTTCTAAGTAGAGGTTTTGGGGGTTCCCCCATGTTCTAAGTAAGAATCTCCCCAGCTATCTACGTGCATTTTTGGAAAATCCTGTGTATATATAATATATTTTTAATATTGTAGTTGTCCGGCACTATATATTCATATAATAAAAACTTTCCAAACCTGAGCATTTTTAATATTGTTCGAATTGTAGCCTCTCACCTAGAGCATCCGGATCCATTCGCTCATTTTGTTCAGCTCAATATATGTACCTATTTATCTCGAATCTCGTCCCGCTGTAGGCTTTGGACCATTCCAACCGCTCAATCGGTCATATAATTTCAATATACCTCAATATAGACATCTCCATGTATCTTAACGCAACATCACACCACCTGTATATATAATATAAATATGCAATGTTAAGTTGTATGTATGTATACATATACATATATTTACATGTATATATGATGGCATGTTCTAAGTAGAGGATCCTCATATGTTCTAAGTCACTTAGAACATACGTCCCCCTATTCGCCGAAAATGTTCTAAGTAGAGCGCGCGTACCCACCGAAAAATTTCCAAAACGATGTTCTAAGTAGTTGTCCGGCGCTATATACATATACACACTAACCAACGAAAAATTACACCGGCATAGACCCCAGATAGAAAAGGTTGGAACTGATGGTTCCCAACGTGGGAACCAAAGGTTACCATGGCAAGGAACTGCCGGTTCCCAGACCTTGAAACTTACGGTTCCCAACCTGCAAACCAGAGGTTACCATTGCAAGGAATTGCTGGTTCCCAGAAGTTAGTTTTCGAAGCTAAGCGGCTTTCATTGTAAGGAATTGCGGGTTCCCAAAGTTTGAAACTCAAGGTTCCAGACCTGAAAAAGCACACGTTACCAGTGGAAGGATCTGTTGATTGCAAAAAGTTAGACCTCATGGTTCTTAATGTTGTTTTGTTTTGTTTACTGAGCCGGTAACAGAACCCTGCACAGCACCTTTGCCAGACTTCGCCACTGCAGTCTGGACAGCACCCTGCACAGCACCCTGCACAGCACCTTTGCCACCGCAGTCTGCACAGCACCCTGCACAGCACCCTCCACAGCACCCTGCACAGCACCCTGCACAGCACCCTGCACCTGCACAGCACCTTTGCCAGACTTCGCCACCGCAGTCTGGACAGCCCTGCACAGCACCCTGCACAGCACCCTGCACAGCACCTTTGCCAGACTTCGCAACCGCAGTCTGGACAGCCCTGCACAGCACCCTGCACAGCACCCTGCACAGCACCCTGCACAGCACCTTTGCCAGACTTCGCCACCGCACTCTGGACAACACCCTGCACAGCACCCTGCACAGTACCTTTGCCAGACTTCGCCACCGAATTCTGGACAGCACCCTGCACAGCACCCTGCACAGCACCCTGCACAGCACCCTGCACAGCACCCTGCTCAAAAGTTCGCCACCGAAGACCCCACCTTTGAGAAGTAAGAACCCCTATAGCTTGCCAGCTATCTGGGGGAAAAAAAACATGGTGTTGCTATTTGTGTAGCCAAGATTGGCAATGATTTATCACATCCCTCATGATTTTGCTGTTGTTTGCTGCATTTCTTTCAGAACCCCATGGATTTGGATGTGTAGTGACCTCAGGATCGGGTTGTCCCAATGGGAAATCCACCAGAACAAGGGGATATTTGTTTGGATTTTGTGTTTTTATTTAGGAGCCCCTTAAGCAAAAAAACAAGCAAGGGATGTTTAGATTGAGGGTACCAAATTCATGGTCATCAGGTTTGGCAATTCTTACTGATCTGTTGTTGGTCTTAGTTGCTGCGCTGGTTGAGAAGTTGAGGGTGCAATGTATATCATTTTTTATTGATTTGGCTGTTTCACCAAGAAGTACAAGGAACCCCTCATGAGCATCTTCAATTGATTTCTAAGATTGACCTAAATGTCCCTTATTTCGCACAAAATGTTGCCATTCTGAGTGTGGCATCTGCCTGTGTTGTATTCCATTCCAAAAATCCAAGTACAATCGAAGTGGTTGCGTAACAACCCAGCCTGGTGGTTGATTTCAAACGGGATTTTGGGCCCGCGTCACTACGTGACAAGTCATTTTTAAGTTCAAATGAGGTAATTGGAGAAAACAACCAAAAAACATAGTTTATAAACATTGACCATGACCAGAATATACTGGATTCATGGGATCAATAATGATCAGTGTGCAATTGAACAGAATCGCAATTGACGTACGTGCCGTGGTTTTAACCCGCTTGGTCAAGTCATACACCCATGGATCCCATAATTAGGTGTTGGAAATCCTATTGTGGTATCTATGGATGACCATGTATATCATACTGGTTGGTGGTTTGGAACATGGCTTTGATTTTCCATATATTGGGAATTTCATCATCCCAACTGACTTTCATATTTTTCAGAGGGGTAGGTATACGTGGCGGGTGCTCGCACCTCGACGAGTCTTGCCACGCAGAGCCGAGCAGCCAACCAAGCGGCTCGCGACACCGACGTTGTCTTCGGCACGACCCCGCTCATCTTGGACATTGCGTCCTCAGACCTCAGCGGCCTCTTCGCGACGCGCTACGAGGGCGTGAGGTCTGGTCCTGAAACTGCATGGGCTGGCGCATGCTGGCAACATGGCAGCTCTCTTGCACGGTTTGAGCAGGGCTGAACGGTTGGCGGTGCCTTCTGACGCAGAGATGGCTGTGAACAGCTTTGAGAAGGCCATCAACGCGTTCAGTCCCGCTGAAGCGCATGGCCAAGCACTGTAGATGGTAACTATCCCAAAGTATCCAAGAGTTTCAACTTAGAGAATCATTATATTTTGTCTTATCGCG